TAACTGGGAATGAAAAGATTATGAAGGATTAATTACATAAACTTAGGAACTTTTTTTTAAATTAAATCTCAAGGAATTTGATAATATCTACATAGATTTAATTAGAGAACAGAAAGTGTAATTTTTGTCAAAAACATTAAATCCTTGATCACATCTAGCAGTAGCTCTGGTATGTTGTACATTATTGTATCTGTTTCTGTAATTTTATCCACAGTTATGCAAATTTTAAACACATTGGCAAAATTTATGAAAAAATCTAACTTCTAGGGATTAAAAAACCTGATGAAAAGTTTTATATTATTCAAATTAATCAAAAATGTGGATTTCTATTACCTAGGTAACACAAAGCGAGATAAAAAAATTGTTGACCAAATGAAGACCAAACCTGAAACATTCCAAGGAGAAGGTATCCATCTTGGGGGACAAAGGTACATTTGCTTGCATGCTGAAGAAGATCTACTGCGGGGAAGAAAACAAGGTTCAGCACTGTGTATTGTAAAGTGTGCTTCATGTAAGTGTATAAGGGTGATATACTACTGAAAGTCTTCAGAGATTTCGTAAAATTAATAGCTGTCAAACATAAATAACTTAATAGTGGTCATGGATTTGCATTGGATATGTGAAGTTTTGGTTATTAAAGTTTCTCTTTAAAAGAAGTTGCTATCAGTAAAGATAAATTTTGTAACTAACCATGTGTTAATGTTTATCATTGATGAATATACTGTGTAGAAAAATATGATTGTTACAGGCTGTAATGGATATTTAATAAACATCCTGCATAGTGTAAGCATAATTGTTTCAAAATGTATAGTCTTCAGGCAAGTACCGTTGTCAAGTTAAATTACCATTTATACACTTAAGAACTTTTTGTGTATACTCATTAATCATCATGAGATTTGAGTAACTTACAACATCATATCCTTCTGCATTATTTGAACAATACTTTCTTCCTTTCCTCACAATAAGCAGGTAGAGATAGACAATAAAAATGGGTAAGTGACTTGATGTTTCAAGTGATCAAAGATGATACAAAGTTGATAAAATGTGACATAAAAAAATCAAAAATCTGAGTATGCCATTAATAAAACTTTGGTCAGTAAATAATTTGTAAGTGATAGAATAAATACAAGTGTTTCTGTGTTCAGGAAGTTGATGTTGACAAGTCTATGTTCTTTTGTGACCGGTGCTGCCAAAATCTATCCTCTTATTACCATTACGTGCCAAGCTCTAATCTGCTCCTTTTAATTTTAAAGCTAATGGAATGAAAATAAACTAAACTGTTGACTGATTTACCAAATGAAGTGAAAGGCAAAACATGCTTCATTAGAATTATTGTAGGCCTATGCTGTTCTTTTAGAACACTAAACATTTAAGGTTTGTTTATTATATGCATATGCAAGCTAGTGAAAGGAATGGGATTTAAAAGAATACTTGCATGCTAGGATTTTGATCCTTGAGTAGTTTGTCACACTTTGATTTTTTGTTTCACCTAAGATATACAATTTCATCTGTTTAATGTTTGACTTGGCTACAGAATAATCAAGTTTGGCTTCAATTTTTGAAAGTGGATTAGCCAACTTGTATTGAAAATTCTGCTTAAATCTTGAATAAATAAAATTGTTCACATGATATCATATAATTATCATATCCATAACATTTATCTAGATAATAGGCAAATAAGGGAGAGGTGTTTAGTAAACTGATTGGTTCTGCTTTCCATATTTGAAATTGTTAATTCAGAACTTTTTGCCTGAGAAAAACATGAGATTAGTGCATTTTAAAAATATATTTCATTTCATTGTCTTATAAACAGTTGTAACTGGATAACAAAGAGCTTAACATTCAAAGAGCTGTCATCAGCTGAGTGTGGAGGTTTTGGTATGAGGACTTAAGGTATTTCTAGCCTTTTTGTTTTCACCCTTCTTTGAAAAATGGATAATTGCTTCTTAAAAATGTTTACTTTCAGTTTCTGCAATGCATTTTGTCAAAACAGCCCTACCTACTCCTCAAAAATGGCATTGAAAATCATAATCTTGAACTGAAAATTAACATCTTTTCATAGCAAACACCCTAGCAACAGAATTCATGGCAATTCGCAACCTCTTTGGTAATTTTCTTTTTCCATCCTTAAGATTGATCTCGTGTAGTAGTATGTAGCTTAGTTCTACTACATTTAGGCATTGGTTTGTCAATGGAACCTTCATTTTCTTCTTTTGACATTTTTCTTATTTGCCATTGAAATTTCTTCAGTGTAGAATGAAAGGAAAATTCATCCAACTTTTTAAACCTTTTAGCATTAAACAATACCTTACAGTAGGGATTTAACTTGCAAAAGACAAAGGAGTGGATGTATTAGCCAGAGAAGTATCACATGGAGTTGAACACTGTTCACTCGAAGCTTTGTTAACTTCACCAGAGTGAAGTTAGCAAATAGTTTCAGTATTGTTGGTGTCTTTTAAGACCAGCCACTTTATTATGCATTGAGTTTGTGTGACAAAAATTGTCTTTAAAGTAATGGTAAAAATCTTGAAGTGATGGCAAGTTTCATTCTTAATTGCATTTTTTCTGTGCCAGCTTCTTCCCTATCTGACAGACCAAAACAATTGTAGTTTTGTCAAATTTTCATAGATTTCTACCAAATTTTTACACTGAACAACTTGTAAAATACTGCAGGGAATAAACCAAAATGAGGGTTTTAAAAAAGTTACACCCTAAATATAAGGAGTTTGTAACTGGAGGGTTGATTTGTAGTGTTGAAAATATATAAAAAATTTTTTGTTTTTCCTCTGTAATAGTCTTGCATTTGTGGTGTTATGTTCATGCTTCTCTTCTTAAACGTTAAATTTGTTGGGTAGTATTATTAGTTTTAAGATGTGTTTTTAGACAGTCTGAATTTGAGCTCATTAATATGTGCATACTAATGAAATAATTTGCATAATTAATTGGAAGTGAATTCTTTTATGTTACTTTCAAGTTCATCAAAGTTTGAGGTCCTTGGTTTGTTCCTAGAGTCCAAAATTAGTAATGCATACAATAATGGTCTGTAAGCATCTTAACTGTCTTGCTACATGCTCAATCCCAGTGACCAGTCTCATAACCATTTTGTGTTTGTTATAGTTTTCATGCTATAACTTTTAATACAGTAAGTGTATCTTCATGACATTTTGCAGATTATCAGTAAACATTACAGGGCTTTTGTATGCAAAATATCAGTATTTTTTTTATATTAAATTTTAAGATTTTACAAGTAATGATTTGCTCATGTATTTTTTTCTTTTTGCATTAAATGTTGACTATCCAACATGCAAAGTAATTTTGTTTTTAGATTAGAAATGCTTTTATGCATCAGAAAATTTTCAAATTTCATATGCAAAATCTTTGTAACCTCCAGATAATTATCAAATGTTTTTTTTTTTAGGAAAACTACTTTATCTGTTATTTTCATTGTAAGAGTTGGTTCAATTTGACTGATCTCGTAACCACCATAAAAAAATTAGGAAATAGATATAAATTATGTTTTTTTCATTCTAGAATGACTACAGATTATAACACAAACATAATTGTT